CAGTGTATCACAGACAAAATGTATCACCACCACACCGTTTGTAGTGATGTCAAAAAGCTTGGCTTGGTCTTTACAGCCTCCTTGCTCATCACCGGTATTCCTGTCTCCCCGGAAATCCCTACTGGGGGCCCCTTCTAAACTCCTCATGGTTGTGGTCGTGGAAAGTAGAACGTCTAGCACGGTCAAGGCAACTGACAAGCAGTGAATTTAATCTCCTGTCGGCCATTTGTCCACAGCACTGAGGGTATGATAATAATAGTCTTTTCCACCCCTTGACCTTAATTGACATGGAACGAGTTTTACACCCATCAGACAGGGATGATCGCCTAAAGCGCTTAAGCATGGGGATGAGGGGAACTTACTTGTACCCTAAGCACATCCTTTCTAATTTATGCAATAAACGGAACCCTTTTTCCTAATGCCCCAATAAAGTTTGCGACTTATTTACCACTCATTCCTTTCAATTTTCCTCCAACATCCATATCTTAGCAGTCTCGTAAACATTCCTTTTAGCCATAGCAACGAGGTAAATGCTAGGTTCATACAATACTGCATAAATACAATCAGAGGGAGATCTTTCCTCTCCCCTCCTCTTTCGTCCCCCCTTATATCAAAAAGGAAGGAGAAGTTGAAATACCTTCTCGTCTCATGACAGCTAGCGCATCGCGCAGTCGACTTCGATGGAGGGGATGGCACCACCGCCTCCGACTGGCCAACTGACTCAATGCTTTAAAAAGTGTGTGACCTAAACTCTGCGACTGCCAGTTTCCACAATTTATGCATCACTTATGTTTTTTTTTAAAATGAATGTTTTTTTCTCTAACTCTATTCGTTAAGGGGGATCGGGTCAACTTATCCCCCTAAGGAAGGCATTGGCCGAAATGACCGAAGAAACTCAGCTACCACTTCGGAGATGGGGGACGTCTGATGTAAGGGTGATGTTTACTTGTGGACAGGAAAAAAAAAGAAAAGGAGAAGGAGAGCCGGAAGCTAACTTAGCAACGGTCTGTTATGGTAGGTGAATAACTGGTCCATCTATCATCAGCGGGCGAAGCCGCTCGTTCTCACTCACTTAGGGGAAGACGGGTCTGCTGTGGAAGAAAAAAGAGAAGTTGGAGGATGGCAAAAAAGTCTAAAGGGGTGCTTTGTGCCTCTGTGGGAAGAGGAGAGGAAGTAAGCTCCCCATTCCGCTAAGTCGTTATTCCGCAACGCTTGAAGCGATTAGCAGCCAATTCACGAAAAAGGTTTAAGGAAGAAAAACTTTTCCAGCAGTATTAAGGTTGCCCTTTGGCCAAAATAATTCCAGAATAATCTTTTCTGTGACCTTAAAAGTTTGGCAGAAAAGAGACCAAGAGCTTTTTTAGAACAACAAAAAGCCGACCAAGTTTAAGAACAGCGCGCTTAATTTCGTACGTCCCAATAACAGATTATCGGATGGAATATAAACCAATTTTAAGTAACCGGTTTTCTTTTTTGTAAATAAAAAATCTTTTTCATTTATGAATTCAATTTTGATGATTAAGGAAATGGAAATCAAAAATAAACTTTTCTTGAAATATTTTGTGGTCTTAGCTCTTAGTAAGGCAAAATAGAAAAAAAAATGTTTACGAGACTTCGGTTTTAAGTGTATCTCTAACTTTAATTTCTCAAATGAACGAACTAATTCAGTCTCGGAAGGGGATGCCAAGTGCTTTCGGCCATTTGTGGAACGCAGTGGACGGCTTGGAAAAGGACCAAAAGCTCGAACTAATGTGGACCATATACATCCATAAATCCTTCTCGCCGTCATCGCTCTATTTCTAAATAAATGGATTTTGTTCTACTAAAAGTAAGTTGGCTGATAAATGTGGAGTGGATATCCTCTTAATACGTTGTAATTATGCTAAAACGCGATTTGATGGCGCTGCGTTTGTTAGTAGGCTAAGCTCTCGGGGAAGGCATTCTCATAAAGCAGCTTGTAATAAAAAACGCGAGAAAGATAAATCATTTCTTGTAGTAATGATGCACATTCGAGAAGCAGACACAGGAAGTTTGGAGGCGGCAGCGATGAAAAGGAAGACGCAGGATATCAGGAGAGCCCCCAACAACACCTCTATTCTGTAATGCCGAAATGCCCATCAAAGTGGGGAAGGAAAGCATTTAGACTGAGCAATGCCAACTGTCCAAAGACGCCTTGTTTGCTTGAATCAGAGGAAGCGTAGGTGCGGTAACTTGGTCCTCTGGACCTCCACCTTCCCGACTGCATATTTTTGGTGCCTAAAATGTCAATGATGTTCGTTAGCGGCCAGAAAAAAAAACACCCAATGGGGGAGCATTCGCCAAAGTTTCGCCTTTAACCATGCTGGCTATTCAAGCTGCTTGGGTTATGAAGTCTAGGTGTCCGATCAGACAAAGAGTCTCCCCGCACAGAGTCTTCTGCAACATCCGTCCTCAAGTGCAGACTGGGTGACGTTGCAGACTAACTGCTATCTCAAAAGAGTGTAGGTCAAAAACTGGAAAAAGAGGGGCTCTTCTTAACCTAAGTCAAAATCCTAGACCGAGCTGTAGCTGTAGGAACGCCCTAAAGTTACAAATCAGCTTAACAGGAAGTGCACCGTTTGGGTGGAAGCAGCTAATCAGAGAAGGGTTCCCTAGACGAGGATAAGGCAACATTTCTCTCCCACCCCTAGGAGCCTTTATTATAAAAATTGTCTGAATTATTTGATAGACAAAGATCAAGCACAATTGGTCATTGGTAAGGCATTCCTGGGGAACAGTTGTGTCTGCAAATCACCCCACACACAAACTTAAATTATGCAGTGCCCACCTTCGAATTGTGGGGTAATGCAAGCAGTGAATCATTCGAGGCTCGACGATTATATGCCCCTTAGCCCAGCAAGCCTTAGAATGTAGGTACCCTTTCAAAACCCGGATCAATCAGCTAATCAGCAAACTCTCGTGGGAGGAGGAGAGGACAAATTGACAGCCCTCATACCTTACTCTCACCTCCCGCTTCAAGTCTGAGTTTTACTCCCCCCTTGTCAACGTTGACAAGTGATACCTTACTACCATCAAGAATAGGCAGTCCTTGTGCATGTGAGGACGACGCCTCTGCCTGCGTTGTAATAAAAACAGGTTCACTTCTTCTTTTACATAGTAAACTGCAGATTTTTTGCCAGAGAGTTACCTCGCTCAAAAATCTACCTTCGCCTTGTTGATGAAGCAAATAGGCTCGAGATCTAAGCGCTGGCTTTACACAAAGTACTCCACTTGCCTTTGTCGTAGAGGGGGACAAAATGCAGAAGCTGAGGATAGCCTGCCAGTATGTTTTTTACAGTAGTAAGGAAAAGCAAGACCGATCAGGTGTCAATCAGTTAATTAATTCGTCCACCATAAAGTAAAATACTTTGCTTTTTTCACTTTAAAGGTAAATAGAAGTTAGTAAGTAGTATGTTTTATCGCTGCCACTTGGACTTCATAGAAGCCTGGCGAGGCGCTGGACTGAAGATGTTCCAGATTCTGCGGGGCGAATGACCCACAGCGAGTAGTAAGTAAGCGGTGCCACGAAAATACTTTGAAACGTTGGTTGGGAGAGCTTTGGACGAACGTCAATCCGCGTAGCCATGCTAGTAGCTTTCTAATTCTTCTGCACCTTAGTAAGCAGGGCTTCTCGTAGGACACGAGGCTCAGGTCAACACGATAATTTTTATTTGGAATCAATCTACCAGCATTGCAGAAAAGGCGTGATGGTGCCAACTTGTAACTTATAAATTCTGCCTCCAAGTTACACGTGAACAGAGTTAATGAGCTCGGTAGTGTCTTAATTCTTCCCTTTAACAAAATATTAAAAAAGCCATAAAAATATACTGTGTTGCATTTGTAGTAATGAAGTTAGGTTGTCAAGTCTGTCATTCTTTAGAGGCAAACTAAAAAACTACCTTCAGAGAGAGAAAATTAACCTCTTAATGACATTCATTTGTCATTACTATTTAATGTGTTTTGCTCTTCACCGGCAGCTCTCAAAAAGAAAAAGGGTAGCGCTATGAGTCCTCGCCCAAAGTAGCCCATGCTCCTTACTGGCGTGGTGGCACCTCGAGCGACCGCTAGCGTGGTCCCGAGAGTCATGCTGCAGAGTGGAAGTACAGCATACTGCATCCCTCTGCGATGCCATTGGAGGGAGATGAAGGTGGGGATAAAGTAAAGCATCACTCTTCTTCCTCTCTCTCTACCTCCTAACCCCTTCCGACCGGTTTACTCATCCTAACTGATTCTGGGAGAGGAAGAAGAAGATGTATTTCTTTCAGCCATTTGGATTCGCTCGCAGCCACGACAACCCTACATTGTTTATGTCCGGCTTAGCTGATATATATATACATATATATATTGTTCATTTTAATTTAAGAACGTTCAAAAACATTCTACGATCAGCACTCCCGATGACGATCTCCTGATCGGTCACTGTTCGATGTGGAGACAGTAAAGGAAATGCCTGCTCAAGAGGAGTGGAAATGTGTGAGGAGGGAAACATCTTGAGGTATCATTCCATCAACCAGCCAGCGTTTGCACAAATACCGTGTCCCGGAGGAGCCTCTTATTCGAGGTATTTATCGCCCTGTTACGCCAGTCACCAACTCAACTCAGTTCGTGCTTACACTCTCATCAAACAGCAGTTTATGGAAAAATTCCTTATAAAAGAGGGACAAAAAAGCGCCTTGTCGAACCAACACAACGTGACAAGCAAAGGGCGTGCAAAACCGCCGCCAAAGATTTTACTACCTCCTGCTAAGGTGATTTAGTGGAGGTGTAAAAGATTGCACATATCCTTTACCCCGATGTAAATACTATATTGTGCTACATTAATTATTCAGTGACTAGGTGGTCCAGCAGAATCAATGAAATGTTGACGATGGAAAATGCCAACGGCGCCAGGGAAAAGCCAAACAAGATGTCTTTAGGGATGTTAAATTATCTGGGGATGGTCCAAAGTGCAGTGAAACCGGGACTGCGGATTAGGCGCCATTATGTGCAGTGTAACACGACTGAATCGGAAATTGGTTCGATATAGAGTAGATGGATCCAGAATGGATGGATCAAGGATTAATGGATGGATACAAAATGGATGGATCCGGAATAGACAGATGGATGGATGGATTGATCCGGGATGGATGGATCAAGGATTGATGGATGGGTACAAAATGGATGGATTCAGGATTGATGAATGGATCCGGGATAGACGGATGGATGGATGGATGGACCCAGGATGGATGGGTGGATGGATACAGGATAAATGGATGGATGGATAGATGGATGG